AGAAACAAATAGTCAACCAAAATCAAAACCCTAGACACAGAAACAGATTGTCAAGACAAATCGAAATCCAAACCTGAAAATCCCCCAAATCGAAACCCTAAGAAAGAACTAAGAGGAGAAAGTACCGAGCTTTTGGTGGTGGTATTGAATGTCGCACACCATCATATATCTTCACCACCGTCGTCCTCTTCCTCTTTGGAAGGATTTGAAGCTTTCGCCGGGGAACATAGGAGAAGAATGGATGAGAGGAAACGAGAGAAAGAGAGGCAGCTTGTTTTTTTTTTTGGTCAGCCTTTTTTTTTTAATAAGAAAGAGTATTTATATGTCAAGTCATTTTTCTGGTAAGGTTAAAACTTTTTGGTTTAATTTTGGTTTAGTAAAATTATTTTGGTTAAAACTTTAGGTTAAGTAGACTTTTTTGGAAGTCTACTGTAATATTTTTCATTATTGTTTAAATAGTTTATAATATATAATCTAAAATTTTTCTTTTCATTATATATTTAGTAGACTTAGTATAAAAATTTTGTTGATAAAATTTTAATTCAGATTTTAATTCATAAATAAATAGATTTAATTTTCAAATATTGTTTTTTTCCAAATTAGTTAATTATAATTTTAAAATATTTTTTGATAAACACCAATTAATGTAGACTGAAATAGACGTCTACATATAAGTAGATTTTACTGTAAGTCTACTATACCTAAATATTGGCGCCAATATGGAAAAATAGGCTCCAAAATTCATTTTCACTTCCCTCTTAGTTAATTTAATTTAAAAATAATTTATTTTGGTAAACACAAATTAACGTAGACTGAAATAGACGTCTACATATAAGTAGACTTAATTGTAAGTCTACTATACTCTAAGTTGGTTAAATCCGGTTAGGTTAATTTGGTATAAGTGTGTAGACTTACGGGTAAGTCTACAACTCCGTTTTTTTTTTTTTTGCCTTATTGTTTGAGCAAACCCTAAATGTAAGTAGACTTTATTGTAAGTCTACTATAACCCTAAACCACAGATCTGATATCCTAAATATTTATTTGATAATCAAAAATGTATTAATTATTATATTAAATATCTAAATATAGAAAAAATAAACTTCTCAACATTAGTGTGTCAAAAAAACCAAAAAAAATAAAATCAAATATCTAACCCTAATATATGAATCTAACCCTAAAAGACAAAGCATGTTATACCATTTTGTTGGGAAACCATAACACATTATCTTTCACATGGTTACCAATTCAATATAAATTCTATTAAACTTTTCACTTATATGAAATTTTAATTTATATATTTCATACTAATCTTTATATTGATGATTTATTTAAAAANTTTTATACATTTTTAAAATTAAATTATAAGATCAAATGACGATGTAGACTGTAGAATACGTCTACAAAGTAGACTTCTAAGAAGGTCTACAAATGTGTAGACTTCTCTCTATTATGTGTAGACTTGCAAAGGACAGAACCGTAAAATAACTGTCTGTTTTTTTGTTTGGTCACAAGGGTTAAGTAGTAACTTCATAACCTCTTTAGGTTGGTTTTGCATTTGATTCAATAAGGGGTACACCTTTAGGGTTGAAATGAAATTTTAGGTTGGTTTTGGCAAATCCCCCATGTTTAATTGACAAAAAAATTATAATTAGTATATTTATTTGATTATAATATCTTACATTTACAGCAAAAAATATATATTATATTTTACTTATATAATATAATTTCTCAAAAACAATCACATTTTTACTGCATATTTTAATAGATATTAAAAACAAAACTAAAAATAAATTTAGTAATAAACATCTTTTGATCAAATAACTACAATTCTTTTAAAATATTATAACACTATATAATTTAACGAGGTAGATATATTATACTTTAATAGTTGAAATTATCTGTTTTCTTAATAACTCTTTTGATGTTTAATTTTCTGTTTTTATTTTTGTGGAGTTTAATATAACCATAATCAAAATACTTAAGCAAATCAGAATTTCTTATTTTTAAAATTATTTAAAATAAATTTCAGTTTACCATCCAATCAATCTAAGGCATAAATTATTTTAAATTTATAAAATATTCAACAATTGTAAATATTGATATGTGTTCCTAAGCTTCTAAAAATTTATTATTACTTATGTATGTAATTTAGAATCAGACACTTTAGTTATTATTTTTTCGTTCTAAGCACAAAAAATCTTAAAATACATAATCTTACTAAGATATACTTATATTTCTAAGATAACAACCAACATAAATGTAAGTCAAATAATTAATCAAAAATTTAAGATATTTAGAATAAAAATATTATAGTTGAATTAAGAGAAATAGATAAAATCCAATATATATATATATATATATATATATATCCAAATGATAAAACTGATTAAATATAATATATCTCAAATTATATATAACTAAAATAATGTAATATTCTTAATATAATTTATACATAAAACTATAAATTAATATAAAATTAAATAAATATCAATCAACTATTATAATATATTTATTTTATAAATATTTATACCCGTGCATGAGCACGGGAAAATCAACTAGTAAATATTAATTTGATTGGCAAAACATACACTGAACCTGGGATAATGTTATAAATATAGTACTCCATAAGATTATAAGCTGTTTTGGGAACTACATTCGAAGTGAGCATATGTAGGGCTGGGCAAAAAACCCGGATCCGAAGAACCGAACCGAACCTGATCCGAAAAAATAGTATCGAACCCGAACCGAAATTGATTCAATATCCGAATGGGTTCAAAATTTTTGTATTTAAAGAACCAAAACCGAACCCGACCCGAACCGAAGTATTTCGGGTACCCGAATATATCCGAAAGAGATTTATATACCTATATATATTAATTATTTTAGATTTAATATATATAAAAAACATTCAGTATATATATAAAATACTTTGAAGTTATTAAAAATAGTTGTAAATATATGTAAATAGTCAAACATACATGTCTAAAATTGCTAAAGTACACGCAAAACATCAAAAATACTTTAAAAAAATATTGATTCACAATTCAAATATTCTAATCAAACTAATTTATATGTTAATTTTAGATATTTTGACTTATGTTATTTAATTATTTGTAATATATTATTTTGTTTATAAATTTTTAGAAATTTAAAGTATATAATCAATTTTAAATTTTTTAAAAAGAATTTAAATGGGTTATCCGAACCCGAACCGAACCCGAACCGAAATTTAGAAATATCCGAATGGGGTTAATATTTGTGAACCCGAAAACCCGAAACCCGAATAGATCCGAACCGAACCCGAATGGATACCCGAACGCCCACCCCTAAACCGGAAAATCTCTTACCGTATCTTCAGTAATGATACAGCTTTGTCTATCTGTCTCCCTTGGTTCACTCAATTAATCTCTTTCATAATACACATTTTTGGATTCACTAAGTAAACAATTAACTCTGATCAAATCCTATGCCTTTTCATTCTTCAATAATATTTGGATACTTAAATCATAAATACGATTATTTTAATTGCGTGACAAAAGTAGGAAGCTCGCAAGAAACTTCACTAGCATCTAAGCATGTGCCTCGTGTTCTGCAGTGCACGGCTGTATTAGTGTGTTAGCAATGCCGTGCATTGATAGATCCCAATTTTAATCGCTTGAGTATTTGGGTTCGATTTGTTCGTGTAATCACCGCGGTTGAAACGTAACTGGTGCGTTACCGTGATCAATTTGCTAGAGACAATGTGATTGATTGCAAATGTGGAATGATAGGTGGAGATAAAATCAG